GGTGCGGGCGGGGTGCGCGCCGTGGCGCCGCCGCTGTGGCCGGGTACGAGGGGGGGCTCGCGGGAGCAGCGCGGCCCCGGCCCCTCTGGCAGGCGACTTTCGGTCTGAACAACCGGCAACCTCATCTAAACATCCACATTTTAACCGTGAGAGAGCAGAGCGACACTTCAAAAGCACCCAGAGAGCCGTTTTCAGATGTTCCAGTTAAATGTTTAAAAGCGTTTTTCTGTGATTGTACCATACAAATAACATGGTTAAATTACACTTACCCGCACCTGATTTCTATTTGCAAGAAGAAGAATAAGAAATACATTTTTTTTTTGACTGATAACTACGATCTACAAGAGCTTTAAACCGATATGAATTTATCAATAGAGTTACACTGCTGTGAATCCCCTCTGCAGATCAGATATTATCAGCCAAGGTGTAAGATTCATCTCTCCTACAGGCTGCTTGCTGCTTTGGAGCTGCTGCTGTGGAATGTGTCCATAGCGCAGTTATAGCAAAGAAGTGAGGTGCCACATGCTGACAGCATTTTGCAGTACCAAAACCAAATCAGGAGTGGTCACTTAATCTGTTTTTTCCTTCAGGGAACATCTCTGAAGACAGTTTGAGAATCCTACAAAACGTCCCGACAAAGGGAGCAGCTGCGTACATGAGAGGTCAGTGGGGAGCCCGGCAGAGGGCAATCATCCAAAGAGAGATTGCAGAGCTGGCTGAAGAGCAGGCTGTTCACGTTATAAAAAGCGGGTTTAGTTGCATATAGCTTTTTGAATAAATAGGCATTTTATAGCAGAAAATTTCTCAGCTTTCATAAAACGTGGGTGTGTTCAGTAAATTTCCTGACTGATGACATAAACCTTTTTTCTAACTTGATAAGAAAAAGGAAATAGAGATACCTTCTGCACATGCACACATGAGCATGCACCTCCATTCTTTCCCTTTAAATATTGCAGGAGGCCATTTTCACTGCACGTCCCTGTTCTGGATTTCCTAAAGGACTGTGTAGTCCTTGGAGCTTTTTAACACCCCACTTGCATGTGTGAACTCTCAGCTGCCTGCCCAGGGTCTTTTCTTGGAGCTTCCTGTAGGAAAACCACTGAACTGCAATGGAATCTTCATTTACCAGGAAACACACTGCTGCAAGTCACATAGGGCTGAATTAGAGCCCAGCAGCTCACTTTAAAATTTGTTTGCTTTCCCTTCTAGTGTCCAATCCAGTAAACAGTTCAAAACTGAGCTTGGTGGAGAAGGGTATTTGTGAAGACATCCAGTGCAAGAGAGAAGAGCTGGTGATAAGGACACAAGGCCTCTACTTGATCTATTGCCACTTGAACTTTCATTTTCCCGACTGTTCAGACAGCCCCATCGACATCAAGATAGAGTTCCTTGTGAATGACCAAGTCAATGGGCAAGCACTATCCACAGGGTGTGCATCAGAAGCGTGCCAAGAAAAGACTTTTAAGACCTTGTCCCGGCTCCATTTGACATACCTCAATGTGGAGGACCGAATATCAGTAACACTCAATCATCCTAAATTCTTGAATGAAATTTCTCTTCCCAATGATAATGTCCTTGGGGTCTTGAGGTACAGCGATGAAATATGAGCAGTTCTCTGACTTCCCACTGCTGCCCAGACTTATCTTTCTCTGAACAACAGTAGCCTGCTTTTACTAGGCAACACCTTGTTTTAAATTTTCTATCTTACCTCATCGCTAGGGTAAACAAGGAACTTTATGTCCCAGAACAAAACCCAAACCACTGCAAGACCCACAGCTGACAGATTGCTCTGGTCTGGCTCAGGGTAGGATTGTTGTTGAACTATCCAGCATATAACCCACAGATCTGCCAACGGTTCCTCAAAACAATACTGTGTAAACACAGATTAAAATGCAACCAGATTATGGGAAGAGTACGCAATATCAAGACTTTTTGACTAATGGACTGCTGGCAAGGTGCCTGTGCTCAGGAGATGGGGAAATCTTTTTAACTGAATTTTATGGAATAGTATTTTCATGCGGTCTTTCCAAGAAATTAACAGTCAAAGCTTGTAATGAAAGCTTTCTCTACAACTGAAGCACACAACTACAGCTCTGGGGTAGGTTTATGCATAGATCATACAAAAGCAAAGATGTAATTATTGACTCCTAGGCTGGTAGCTAAAACCCTGGTAGGAGATTTGAGACTGACAGGATATCTCTGTGCTACGTCCTGCTGTGGACTTTATGCAATTTACTTTCAAATGTCTTCCTTTTCACTATTTATCCATCTTTTCTATTTAAATATTAAGCTCTTTGGGGCAGTGACTTAGTATATGCACAGTTCTCACCTGAGGTTTCTAGACCTTTTGATAACAAATATTAAGAGAGTAAGCTAGTTGCAAATCTAGCCACTTAACAAAATTCACTATGATACACTTTCCTTAAATCCCGCCCTGCCTGTTTGACTGTGCCCTGACTGCACTGGTGTGGAAATACAACTGCAAAGCCTCCACTTTCTGAAAATCCAAGATTTAGATCTGAGGTCCAGACTTTCCCAAAGACGATTTCAGACCTGGTCCTCAGCCAAAGGTTGTGGCGTTTGAGCAGTCCAGAGAATAGATGTTATTTGAGCTTCTTTGGGTTGCGGAAAGCTTAGATAATGAAGGATAAAACAGTGATCTCAGGACCTCTTACTCTATGAATTGTAGTAACACAGGCATTTACTTAAAAGTTAATTCTTACAGTGTGTGGAGAAAGGGGAACAAAACATTACAAAACCTGGAAACAGTTCACTCTTACCTCTTTTCCCTTCATCCCTCAGATCCTAGTAAGGCCTATTTTCACTGGTATTCGAGTTTTTCCCCTTGCATACCTGTACTTTCTTTCCTTTGTGTGACTAGAGTCTGGTGAACTGTTCACATCAAGAAATTTAGTCATAGGTTTACCTTCTGCCTTCAGAAACTCAGTAAATGTTTTAATGTTCAAGCTTAGTTGATGTTGTCAACTGTTGTTGATTAGTTTGTGTAAGCACACCCAAAATACTTTCAGCAGTAGTAATTTGCTGCTTGTGCTATGTCACCAGAAATTCATGGTACACATTGGTGAGGTTTCATCATGTTGACCAGGTGGCTTCAAAACACACAAGAAAAGTTCAAAAGGTCATGAACAATTGATGAGTTCTGTTGCTAGAGAGACCTACTTTCTGTTTTGATAAACATTGATGAAATCAGAAAATCCTTTTGCTATTAATGGTTGGGGGTGGGAGGGGGGGGAGGAAGGAAACTAAATCCATGTTTTCTTTCTTTTCCTCTTAAAGAAATTTATAAGAGTCAGCTTACCCTGCCTATGACATTACAACCTCCACTGGGATCTCCTCACCCCTCTGGAGCCTATAAATCTTTTGTGTCTCTGAACAGGGTTTTTAATCTCTGTCTGCCTCCTCCTCAATACATACAAGTAATGCATGGAGAAGTTTAAGCAAGTCTGGTAGTCAGGAATGATAGCTCCTGAATATAGAAAAGGCACCTAATGAATGAAAATGTGCATTTACTCACACCCCCACCTTTCCTTGAAGGCTTTGAATTGAAAGAGAAAGGCCATTCTTTAAAAAAATAAAGCAGCTCTCTGCATAGGATGATTTTATTCTATTATTTTGCCAGATGGAGAAAATCCTGACAAAGCAGTGCTAAGCTTCTCAGCCCCAGGCTTTTTAATATCACAGGATAAAGCAATCTGACCTCTACTCCATTGCCTCTGTGAAATAAGAATAAACTATAGCCATAAAGAGAGCCCATTAATAGTGTTCAATTTTGCCATCAGTTATAAAAATGTTAAATAGCTTTCACTGAAGCAAGACACAAGCCAAGCAGCAGCCTCCACGCCTTCTGGCAGACTCCAAGTCATTCCCTTCTTATCCTTTTTCCTTCCCTTATTTCCTAGTTTTTTGAAGCAGGGCATTTTTGACAACAATCCTGTACTAAAAAAAAACCAAAAACCAGTCCAGGCTGATCCTTCACACAACACCGCATCTTTTCAGCAATATCAACAGCGATGCACCTTGGGGAACAACCCATTTCCACAGGCTCAGCTTCACGGATCGCAGAAGAGCTTCTCTGCAGGAGGGTCCTCACTCTGCTGAGGAGCACCTCAAACCTATGGACCCTGCTCCGGTTCCTCACGCCAGGGCTGAGGCCATCAGAAAGGGGACACAGCTGAAAGCACTTAAGTCACTGAGAAATTTTGAAAATTCCTCCCTGTGGCCTCAGATGTGGCAAATGTGTGGCTTTCTGTGCATATGCCCTGTTGCTAACTTGACCAGAAACAGGAAGCACCAGCAATCTCACAAGCAAGTCTGCGCTGTTGAGGTTTCTTGGTCCTTGACAGACACTGAATAAGTTGCACTCTTAAAGTGTTTTCTGCTTGGCTAAGAAGCATCTATGGGAGTTAATATATATCATTATTCATAATCTTGGTAGATAGAAAAAGATGCGTGTTATTGGCTTAATTCCAGCTGTTGTTAATTGCTATAGAAAATTTTAATAGGGACTTGAATAGAAGTCAAGTCAATGCGACACACTTCCATCCAAGCTCACCCAGGGGCAGTAAACCAAAATCACATCAAGTTTAATATCAGAGATTACAGAGTTGGATCTGAACTTCACCAAAGCTGTGAAGACTTTGAGTCCAGGATTGCAATTAGACTTCACCTCCCGTGAAAGTGGCCTGAACTCAAACTCCTCAGAGCTCAGATCTGAAAATTAGGTCAAGGCTTATTGGACACAGATTCATTATTTAGGCTACGCAAGTGCCTACTGAGGGACTTGGAAATTTTGCATTCGCTTCACTTCTGGTTTTGTTTCATGTGATTTTCTTAAGCACTTCCCAGAGTGGGGAAATATCATAATCACTTAGAAATCCTTTACTGCGCCATGGGCCAACCAGGAGCTGTGTGCTACCTAAAAACGCACAACAATCCTATGATCCCACTTGGATCAACAGTGCACTGATCTTCTGCATATGTTTTATGCACCCAAACTCCTTTGGAGAGCAAACAGCGTTCTGCAAAAGCCTCAACCACTTGCTCATGCTCTTAAATTAATATTATTATTCTTCACAATGCTATTAGATACAAAATTTGCAAGCAGCTCTATTTGTTTTCAAGCATCCTATCCTGCAGTTAAAGTAAGAAATAGTCCACTCAACACAAATAACCAACCTAAACAAATAAGAACTTTGCTTTTTGGGATCTCTGACTGAGCCTTACTGACAGGACGCTAAAAAGCGGAAGTGATACAACTTGTGTTTGGTGAAAATAGCAAGGGAAAACCTCAAAACAAAGGCAGTTTTTGTAGGAGGAATAGTTGTAAAAATGCAAATTTTGATGAGCAACACTTGTGACAGCAGGACTTGCATTCAATGTCCTCAAAACCTCTTCCAGCCTTGACTTCTTGTGGTTATAATAGGCTCAGTTTCAAGAAAGTATGACAGATAGTGAGGGTATGGAGTCTTGGACAAATGTTTTGGAAGAGTACCTTCTGCCGCAGTGCCCCAACCCCCAGGAGTGCTCAGCTGCAGTGGTTTAGATGTTTGATTTCTGTTCTCAGAGGAGCTTAAAGACTCGAGGTGGAGGAGGGAAGAGACCTGAGAACTGCACAGCACATTCTGAAATGTGGGGTTTTCCAAGGAGAGTGAAGGTGGAGACTCCCCAGACCTGACATTCATGTCAGGGCCAGAACCTTAAATCCCACAATGCCAAAAGGCTTTGCTGCAGGCAGCAGCCACCCTGCTCTGTTGTAAGAGAAGGATGTTGTACACTGTGGGTAAAGTCATCATTTTTTTCCAAGATGTGACATCCTGCAGTATTGACACACCATGTTCCTTCAGCCAAGTTCACAGCATCTAAATTTAGGATCCTTATTTCCCTCTGTAGCCAGTGTGAAGCAAGAGGCTCCGGGAGATGAGTCAGAGCACCCAAAATAGCTGCCTAGATAAGACTCAATCGACTGCTGTGCAAGTCTTTGCTCAGTCTGGTCACTGGGTCCTCAGTCTCAACAGCTTCATTCAAGTCAAGATAAATAAAAGATTATTTAATCTGTGGATTGGTAATATATGGACACTTTCTACTGGTAATTTATGGACACTTTCTACAGCTTCCCAGTGAAGCTTGCCTGTGCTTTGAGGCTATGTGAGACTCATGGAAACCCCATGGCTCTCCAGCAGAATGTGTTTGTAAGGTAAAACACAAATGCCAACTAAGTTGCTAGATTTACAGATACAAAAGACTTGGACCTGTCCAGAACTGATAGTGGGAGAACAACATTTTTGGAATTAGGCACCAATTCAATACTTAGATTTTGAAGCAACTGTTTTCTCATCTAAAACTGTTTAGTAAATATTTGACAATTTTTTTCATCCCTTCACTTTATATATTTTCGACTTCCTTGTTTTTCTGTTATTTTGCTTCTTTCCCTCTTTGCACCTATTTTTCAGTCTCTACTTCTGAATAAAAATGAATAGGAAAAAAGCAAATAAAATATAAAATAAGTGGGGAGGGATGGAAGGAAACCAAAGAAGCGTGAAGAATTGGGGGAAAAAATCCCTTTCTGAACAGTTAAATGGTCCCTACA